CCTGGTGGTCCAGTGGAGGAGGGGATCCTTGTTGCTGCTGTGATCCCTGGTGGTCCAGTGGAGAGTGAACTCTAACCCCTGTGGGGCTAGAGTTCACTCTCGTGAGATTTGAGCGTTGCCGTGGCAACGCTCATATCTCGCGAGAGGAACCCGGCGGAGCTGCCGGCAATAGCTCCGCCGGGTCCTCTCCTGCCTCCCTCCCTGCATGCGGGTCAGTGGGGAGGGAGGCTGAGAGCAGAGCCGGCGCTCGGATAGCGCCGGCTCTGCATGAGCCGACAGGGGAGATCCTGAGATGTCCCCTGCCGTCTCAATATACATAGCCGTGCCGCGGGGATTAGGGTGTGCCCAGGCACACCCGGCACACCCCGTGCGCACGCCTATGTTTATACACAGACACTAATTGCAATTTAAAAAATCCACAGATGTGGGAAATTAACCTTAAATTGCCATTTTATACTGTGTGTGTCACCTTTTATGTCTGTAATGAGGCCAAACATTCAAGGGTATGTAAACTTTTGATCAGGGCCATTTGGGTGATTTCTGTAATCATCAGGATTTAAAAAGGAGCCAAACAACAATGTGCTAATAAATGGCTTCATATGATTCATAGGATTTGGACTGCCCGTTCGGGTGGGACCAGTCTGATCTGCTTCAGATATGTTCTCTCTGTAATGGCACAAGTGAGTGAAAACTATTTTGAGACCTGAGTGAGGATGTACCGAAGGGTACGCTATTGAGTTTACTCTAAGCTTTTGTCCATTCTCAGAGTTCTCATTCATTTTTTTTTTTTTTTTGCTTTTTTGCATTAACTTGGCTCACACCAAGTTAAAAGGGTAATCCAGACGTGGATCCCGTGCTTACTGTGCCTAGATTATTATCAACTACACCTCATTGATGATGCCCAAAAGAAGGCCAAAATGATCATCTGTTTATTTTGTATGTCTTGTGCAGAGGGAACTTGCTGGAATTTTAAATTATTAAGATGTTTATTAACGACACTAACAGGCACAGGTCTAAAATTGAATTTCTCTATAAGAGAATTTTGAAGAATTTGCAGGGTCTGGTCTATATTTGTGGTCTGAATATGAGTGTAATTCATTATCTTAGCAACCAGGGTGGTAACACACTCAACAAAGTAATTATTAAAGGCATTTGCTACATCTAGGGGGTTTTGAAGTGTTTGGTTGTCCATTTTAACAGTGGAGGGTTGGGAGTGGATTGTGGGGATTTGTATGCTATGTATGATATTCCAAATGTTTCTTGGGTTTCATAGGTTATTGTCTGATTATATAATGGTCTTAAGGCTACCTGTTGCATAGGGCAGAAGAACAGCTGATGGAGCTCTGTGTTGTATGCAAGTCTGGGGCTGGATACATTTTGAGGGAGAGAGATAGTAAGGTCAGATAAGCCTGCAATAAAGCTAAGGAATGGGGAAGATGCATATATGGACATTTGAAGTAAGGGTCATTCAAGCAAAAACAAAGGGAAATATAAAAAAATCACAGAGATAAGAGAAAGAGGTATTCATGTAGAAAAATAAAACCAATAAACAAATAACAATAAAGATATATGGGCCTGAACTGGTTAAACTAAACTAACTTTTAACATAATGGACAAGCAGAGGCGGCTCTAGACTTTATGAGGCCTTAGGCGAACTTCAAGCATGAGGCCCCACTTACACCCAAAAGTATAAAATAATAGGGTTGTATTTTGTATAAGTGTAAGGAGCATTTGCTATATCGAGAGGCGTGCTTGCAGCACTGGATACAGAGAGTCAGTCTCTGCATTCATTGTTCAGAAGCTTGCAATGTCAGCGCTTCCTGTGCCCCTGCATTGTGAGCTCTCTGGCTATAGTTGTAGCACATTTTGCAAACAAAATTAATTTGCAATAAATTTAATTTGCAATTATGCCAATCGTTTATACACAATTGTGGGGTATGGTCACATAGCCCGGCAGTCGTGTATAAATAAGTACTGGTGTGAAGGGGTTCTCGAAAACAAAAATGAAAATTTAAGATTTAAGTGACGGTAAGTGTGGCATAGTTGGGGTGGGGTGGGTATTACAGTTTTGGAGTGAAGGGTGAATGTGGCATGGTTTGAGGAAGGAGTGTGCCAGGATTAAGGGGGTTAATGAGTGTGGTAAAGAGAGGACAGGTGAGTTTGGGAGGGGGTAATAATGAGAGGGAGGTGACATACTGTGAGGGAGGTGGGTGATACTGTGAGGGAGCGGGGTCATGGTGTGTAGGAGGGGGGAATACTGTGCAGGGGCAGATCCAGAGCCTGATCTCAGGAGGGGCACTTGTAGATTATTTAAAGAAATAATCCAGGCACAATAACCACTACAGCTCAGTGTAGTAGTTATAGTGCTAGTAGTGCCAGGATCCCATCTCAGAGTAAGTAGTCAAACCGTTTAAGAACAGTTTGACAACTTACCTGGGGTCTGCTGGGATATAGGGTATAGGAGCAGTGGTATGTGTTAGGGGTGAAGTGTGTGTGAAAGGTGCAGTGTGTGTGTGTGTGTGAGCGGTGAAATGTGTGTGCGAGTGCGTTAGGCGGCAGTTTATGTCAGGGTTCCAGTGTGTGTGTTAAGGGGCAGTGTATGTGTGGGGCAGTGTGTGAGCGGTGCAGTGTGTGTGTGAGAGTTGCAGAGTGTGTATGGGGGGAACTGTATGTGTGTTTGGAGGAGTGTGTATGGGGGGCACTGTATGTGTGTGTGGGCAATGTGTGTATGTGTGGCAATGTGTGTATGGGGGGCAGTGTTTGTTGGGCAGTGTGTGTATGGGGGCAGTGTGTATATGGGATGCAGGGCAGTGTGTTTAGTGTGTGTATGGGGGCAGTGTTTGTGGGGCAGTGTGTGTAGTGTGTGTATGGGGGCAGTGTTTGTTGGGCAGTGTGTGTTTGGGGGCAGTGTGTGTAGTGTGTGTATGGGGGCAGTGTTTGTGGGGCAGTGTGTGTAGTGTGTGTATGATTTTGGAGCGTTGCCGTGGTAGAGAGGCTGAGCTCCCGGGTCCTCTCTCCCTCTCAACCCTGCCGGCTGCCAGCACAGTGCCTGCGGACCGGGGAGGGATATCTCTTCCCGGTCCGTAGGCACATTGCAGGGCTGGGACTTGGACAATGCCAGCCCTACATTAGCCGGCAGGGTGGAAACTCGGGGGGGGGTGCAATTGCCCCATTGTCCCCCCTCTGGATCCGCCACTGATACTGTGAGGGTGATAGTGTGAGGGAAGGGGGTAGCCGAGGGGGTAATACTGTGTGGGAGGAAGGATACTATGAGGGAGGGGTTAATACTGTAAGTGGGGAAATACTGGGAGGGAGGGGGTGATAGTGTGAGGGGGGAATGCTGGGAGGGGGTGGGGTGATAGTGTGAGGTAGGGTGGTGATAGTGTAAGGGAGAGGGTAGTACTGAAAGGGATAAGGTAATACTGTGATGGGGAATACTGGGGGGAGGGGGTTGATAGTGTGAGTGGGGAATACTGGTATGGACTTGGAAATACTGGGGAATATTGGGAGGGAGGGGGGATACTGGGAGAGAGGTGGGTGATAGTGTGAGTGAGGGTGTATACTGGGAGGGGGGTAGTGAAGGGAGATATTGGGAGGGAGGCGGTCATGGTGTAAGGGAGGGGGGATACTGGGAGAGAGGGGGCGGTAGTGTAAAGGAGGGGGTTTACTAGGAGGGGGTGATAAGGAAGGGGGTTACTGGGAGGGAGCGGGGTGTAGTGAGGGGGGATGCTGGGAGGGAGGGGGTATATTGGGAGAGAGGAGTGCTACTGGGAAGGATGGGGTATACTTGAAGAGCGTTATATTGAGGGGGTTACTGGGGGTATATTGAGGGGGGTTACTGGGAGGGAGGGTGATATTGAGGGGGTTACTGGGAGGAAGGGGGTATTCTGGGAGGGAGGGGGCATAGTGATGGGGGGTTACTGGGAGGGAGGGGGTATATTGAGGGGGGTTACTGGGAGGGAGGGGGTATATTGAGGGGGGTTACTGGGGGGGAGCGGGTATATTGAGGGGGTTACTGGGGGGCGGGATATTGAGGGGTTACGGGGCTGAGGGGGGGTTACTGGGAGGGAGGGGTGGATGGCTGAGGGGTTACTGGGAGGGTATGTGAGGGGGGTTACTGGGGGGGGTGATCAGGGGTTACTGGTGGGCATGGAGGGGTGATATTGAGGTTGTTACTGGGGGGTGATATTGAGGGGGTTACTGGGGGTGATATTGAGGGGTATATTGAGGGGGGTTACTGGGGGTGATATTGAGGGGGTTAGTGGGGGATATTGAGGGGGGTTACTGGAAGGGGGTATATTGGAGGCTGTTACTGGGGGGGGGTATATTGGAGGGGCTTACTGGGAGGGGAGGGGTGATATTGAGGGGGTATATTGGAGGGGGGCAACTGGGGGGTATATTGAGGGGGGGTTACTGGGAGGGGGTATTGGAGGGGGGTTACTGGGGGGATATATTGAGGGGGGTTACTGGAAGGGGGGAATATTGAGGGGGTTACTGAGGGGGGGTTACTGGGAGGGGGGTATATTGAGGGGGGTTACTGGGAGGGGGGGTTACTGAGGAGGGGGTTACTGGGAGGGGGGGGTATAATGGAGGGGGGTTACTGTGAGGGGGGTATAATGGAGGGGGTTACTGGGAGGGGGTATAATGGAGGGGGGCTACTGGGAGGGGGGCTACTGGGAGGGGTATAATGGAGGGGGGCTACTGAGGGGGGGTATAATGGAGGGGGGTTACTGGGGAGGGGGTATAATGGAGGGGGGTTACTGGGAGGGGGTATAATGAGGGGGGGTAACTGGGAGGGGGGTATAATGAGGGGGGTTACTGGGAGGGGGGTATAATGGAGGGGGGCTACTGAGGGGGGGCTACTGGGAGGGGGACATAATGGAGGGGGGTTACTGGGAGGGGGTATAATGGAGGGGGGCTACAATGGAGGGGGGTAACTGGGAGGGGGGTATAATGGAGGGGGGCTACTGGGAGGGGGGTATAATGGAGGGGGGCTACTGGGAGGGGGGTATAATGGAGGGGGGTACTAAATACCTGCTTTCCCTGGTGGTCCAGTGGCTTCTTCTTTCCCTGGTGGTCCGGTGGCTTCTTCTTTCCCTGGTGGTCCGGTGGCTTCTTCTTTCCCTGGTGGTCCGGTGGCTTCTTCTTTCCCTGGTGGTCCGGTGGTGCTTTCTGGTCTGCAGCTCCGCGCAGTGTGCAGAGCTGCAGACCAAGAGTCTCGCGAGACCCGGTCAGAGCGTTGCCGTGGTAACCCGCGGCAACGCTCTGATTGGCCAGATCTCGCCAGACACTTGGTCTGCAGCTCTGCACACTGCGCGGAGCTGCAGACCAGGGGTTGCAGGCGGTCTCTCGCCAGGAGGGGCCTCGCACCCGGCGGCATACCGGGCAAGCCGCCGGGCCCCCTCCTGGTGTCAGGTCCTCGGTCACTGACCGAGGACCTGACACAGATTGCCCACAGGCGGTTTAGGCGGCCGCGAGGCCCCAGCCGGCGCGAGGCCTTAGGCGGCCGCCTAAACCGCCTAATTAGAGAGCCGCCTCTGTGGACAAGACATAAAGATGATAAAATATGCAATGTGCCAGGGATATGCAAAGTATGACTAGCACATACCTTGGCTGTAGTTACAAAGTCATGGGAATATATACATTTAAAATAAGAAAATAAAGTTATAATCACTAAATTTAAAAAAAACCCACACACAACAGAATTAACAGGGTATGTAAAATATAATGAAATGATGGTCCTGCATCATCTGCCTCCTTGGCTGACATCGTCAGAAGTTATGCTTTCCCAATTCTGATCTCAGCCAAGTAGTTTTCCTGAGAGGCGAAGCCAAGCTCCACTCTGGCCAATCAGCATCTTCTTATAGAGATGCATTGAATCAATGCATCTCTATGAGAAAAGTTCAGTGTCTGTATGCAGCGCGTCTCCATATTGTACAGCACTGACCTAGAAAACACCTTTAGTGGCCGTCTGTTTCTTTGTTTAAGCTGAGCCTTCACACTAAGTCTTTAATGCAATAATCATATGTATTTTACTACATCCTTTACTACATCCTCACAGGTTATACATGTAGCCTATGGTTCTTGTCATGATGTATTTAGCATTAGTAGTATCTTAACATAATAATCTTAATATCTGAAAGGGTTAATTTCTGTTTAGCTGAAACATAACAGCTGAATTCAACATTTTGAATATATTGTATCCCTGTTGAGAAAAACAGTCTATGTATACCTGAAATCTGTGTCTGCAACTCAGATTGAAAATATGCAATAATTCTTTAACTATAAATTCTGATACATTAATTTGTTGAAATTCAAATATTAATCAAAATCTATTATTTTGTAAAATACGTGTAGATTTTACTTGTTATTGCATTTGCTATTGCTATAGAAAAATTAGTCTCATATCTTTGTAGTAATGCATGCTACATAATAGCTGAATACATTTTATTTTTAAGTAATACATTTGTTGTATGTTAATTTGTGTTGGATTATAAAATTGCATGCCCTGAAGCATTTCAAATCAACAAAGAGAGATATTTAAATTGATGGGCGTGAGTGGGAGGTGTGGCTATGGGCTGTGTTGCTCTGAGAATATTCTAGCACATTGTTAATATGTGATGCAACTAAATGTGATTTAGACCAATATATATATATATATATATATATATATATATATATATATATATATATATATATATATATATATAAAATTTATTTATTTATATTCAACTCACAAGTGTGAGAAGTCAAATGTAAAGCATACAACAGTAGACATGCAGGTGCAGACAATAATACAGTTTGTCCAAAAAAAGCCTGGACGAAAGTTGCTCTGCGTTAACAAATATTGGAGTTGGTAGTGGGCATATCAATGAGCATAATGACAAACTAAGGCCAATATGTATAAAGTAAATAAAATGAACTGGAAAATGTGGGGCAAATAAGAGAGTGACTAACAAGACTATCAGACTGCTCAGAAGTGTGCCAGCCATCTAGTTAGTCAGTATTGCAGGGAAACTAGGTTGCTCCTGACAACAAGCTTCTTCTTAAGGTTCAGTTCCTCCGAGGAGTTGGAGAAGTCTTCGAGGTCGGCGTCAATCTTAGGCCTGTAGGTCCCCTGTGCTTGTCGGAACAAATTGCCGATATGCATGCTCGATCTGGGTTTTAGGGTTTTTGTTTCTTTTGTTTTGGGACCCATGTTGGTTGCATGTTTGAGATCTGCCATCTGCAAGCTCTGGAATCTCTGTATTTTGTGTGTAAAACAAGCAAAAGTACAGAGCCCATCAAACATGCGTCTGTACAGGTCGACTGCTTAGCTCCACCCGATTTTAAAAACTGATTACAAACTGATTTTAGATATCCTATTTTTGTGACAGTATAGGAATATATAAAGGAAGATTTCCACTGTGATTTTAGTGTAATGTTAAATAGTTTCAGTACTATCTCTGTTGGCTTTCCTCAATTACATTCACACCTCCTAGATGCATGGACCTTTATCGATCGTATCCTGAAGACCCAATTCCCACTTACCAACCCCTATTGATTTATGTTTAGTATGCTGATGCCTAGTTATTCTTTTAGAATAAAAAGAGGAATTTAAAAGGTTAATGTCTGTTCAGCTTAATCATAAGACAATCAGCCTTGTACATTGCAAGGACGTCACATACGTAGTTTTGCACATGACCATGCAAAGACATCCCAAGTTTTAGAGGAATGATTTGTTATGCTTTTACTATGCCGTATGCACCAGCTGTCCGTGCTGTTAGTTAGCAGTTGTTAATATTTTATTGGTCATTAATGTAACTGGCCCTTATTGCTTTTGCCTTAAAACCTTTGTTCTGTTTAATAAACATTGGACATTTTTTTTAATAAGACTCCTTTGTATGGTCTCTCAATAGTATCTCTAAGTATTTGAAGGGCGTGACACCGTCTGTATAGAACTATACTATAAGTCCATGGCAGACATTTGGTGATCACCTAAGATTATGTTCCAACAATATCTCAGGATTTTTTTTGCATCCTCTTGTTTTTCACTATATCCCTATGGGGCAGGACAGTAGTTTGTTACAGACCCTATAAACATTTTATAGACTACAGGTTTACTATAAGCACCCTTAGTTTCTCAATATTCAGGCATGTCTTTCAAACAAATGATACATTTATTGCTTTACCGTTATATCTTTTATTATGTCTCAGCTGTGTGATATATCTTGTGCAACTACTTAAAGTTGTGATCAAAATTATTCAACCCACATTGAAAATCAGGTTTATTGTCAAAATTTACAGACTTTCGGCCGTTTGCAATGAACAACCAAACAAAAGCTATTAAAATAGCTTAACACAACGGTTGCTTCAAGAGGTTTCCCCAAATGCAACTGAAAACTAACCTTTTAATCACTTCTCCAGTCTCAAAATTATTCAAGCCCCAGAATAAAATACCTCACAGCACACATATGCAAAACAGGTGTTTCAAGCACCATCAGTCTAGATAATCGTAGCCAATACAATGATTTCCCATAGAACAGCATCGTGAGACATGTGCACATGTGCTGAAAAACTCCACGCTGCGCCAATCAGCATCTTCTTTTAGAGATGCATTGAATCAATACATCTATGGGGAACATTCAGTACCTCAATGCAAAGCACAATGTGCAGCACTGGACTGGGAAGCACCTCTAGTGGCTGTCTGGTGTTTCTAAGCAGCAATATAAAAACTGCTCAGCCTGCAGGGACAGACTATAGACACCAGAACCACTACATTAACGTATAATGGCCCTGGTGACTATAGTTTTCCTTCAAGGCGGCTCTGGTCCTTGTATAATTGTACAATTGAGTTGGGGTGCAGGATAAGGTAGGTTATGCTTACCTGAACCTTACCTGATTTTAAATTACTGAAATACTAATTTCGGAAGGAGGAGGGTGACAGTGCCCCTTTAACTGGGCTGGTGTGGAGATAAGTACCAGAAGCCTTGGTCAGTTACCTAGTAGCCTCCTATTCTTGATGGCAGAGCTGTAAGATCAGTTATAGAGGGTGTAAAAGTCAGTGCTGTTCCAGCTCCTCCAGTGACTGTGAGTGAGGTTGGACAAGAAGTGGAAGGGATCATTTCCCATCTGTCCACTAACAATCTCTCACACATCTGGCACATTCTCCATCTAATAAATATTACTTAAGAAAGTCTAACTGAAGTTAAAATAAACAAAATAAAAAAAAAGGTAAATAAAATGTTTTGCATACCTTCCACATCTTGCTTGAAGTCATTATTTTCACAGAAATTAAAATTTCACCTTACCAAACACCACCCCCCCACCCCCCAAAAAAAGATACTGATGCAACTAGTATAAAATAAAAAAGAAAATCCACGGTCACAAATAATAATAAAAAAATAAAAAACAACGGATTTAAAGGAGCAAAAAGTAAACATTTTGGTGGTATCTGTACCAATAAGAGTCCAGTTATGTATTTCCTTACGATTATTAATTCCTGTTTTTAATTCCTTGCCCTTACTGGCAGCGAGTTACTGCACAGTAGTTTTTGCTGTTCATTAAGAAACAGATTGCCCAGAGAAGCACAGGATTTACATACCATGCTAACAGGAAATAAATTATAGGGTTAATTCCAACCTGTGAATTTTGGCAAATTCAATTCACATAGGAAAATTAATGCAAAAATAGGTGTCCTGGGAAAATGCTCCATCTCAGCTATAGTTACAACTTGGCTATTTTTGTCTCAGTTTTGCCTTGTGGATTTTATTTGCAAAACTTTCTGACTAAACCAGCCAGTAAGTGTATGGATACATTTGCAAGTCTAGAAATAATATGTACATAGGAAAATTATACAAAATGCTGCATATGGAAACTTGTGTTCTCTTTCCACAAAATGTCAAAATGCTCTGACTTTTCAACCTAATATTCAACATCTAGTGGAACAGAATCTTGGGACAGCAGGTTCACAGTCTAGTGAACAAGGGGACTCTGTTTAGTAAAATGAAATTGAAATAGTAGATTTAATACAAAATCTATGAAACAGTATGCAGTTTAGATAATTTCCCTGAAATCATCAATTTAGTATTTGCACTTTTAAAATAATTTGAAAAGGTTTTCTAGTGACCTTATTCAGTAATTTGTATTTCCTCTGATTTGCAATATTCTCCAACTGAAGTTTTATGTTCTAGCAATTAAAACGAGTTCTAAGCTCAAAGACGAAGACAACTATTGTCTCCAAATACTGCAGACAGGTCAACTTTTAAGAACACAGAGTACAAATACATGACATTTATTGAGTCTAGTATTAATAGCCCATGATTA